CTGTAGCTGGATGATCACAGACAGATGGTCCTGCTGGGTCTGTTTGTATACATTTGTGTTTACACAATTGCAAACTGTCCAGCTCTGGATATGAGGCCCTGTTCAAGCCAAACGTCAGGACAAATGTTCTATCTCATTACGCTGTTCCATCTGACCTGAGTATATTCAGTCAAATTGGACCTTACTTTCTTTTTTTTTGTTGTTGTTGTCGTTGGTGGTGGTCATGGGACTTGAACTCTGGGCCTGGGCTCTGTCCCTCAGCTCTTCAGCTCAAAGTGAGCACTCTACAGCTTGAGCTACAGCACCACTTCCGGTTTTCTAGTGGTTTATTGGAGATAAGAGTCACACGGACTTTCCTGCCCGGGGAAGGTCTAGCTTTGAACTGCAATCCTCAGATCTCAGCCTCCTGAGTAGCTAGGATTATAGGCGTGAGCCACCAGCATCCAGCTGGACCTTTCTTTATGTCCCCCACTAATTGAAGGCCTATTCCTTTCTTGCCTTCCTCTGCATTCACACTCTTGAGAAGCTGAATGCATGTACACCTGCCTATACTCTTGTGCAAAAATAGGCAGAAAACAGCTAGTGGCTCACACTTACAATTCTAGCTACTTAGGAGATTCTGAGATCAGGAAGGTCAAGGTTTGAGCCTCACTCAAGACCCTTCTCAGCCAATAGCTGGGCACTTGAACTCACACCTGTCATCCCAGGCTGAGATTAGGGAGATCACAGTTGCAGGCCAATTGAAGCAGAAATGTTCATGAGACTCCATCTCAATGGAAAGAAGCTGGACAAGGTGGTGTATGCCCATCATCCCAGCTATGATGAAAAGTGTGAAATAGGCAGATTGAAGTCCATTCTTATGCCAAAATAACCAGAAAAGGGGCTGGACATGTGGCTTAGTGGTAGAATGCTTGCCGAGCATGCATGAAGCCCTGGGTTCGATTCCTTAGTACCACCTAAACAGAAAGCTGGAAGTGGCGCTGTGGCTCAAGTGGTAAAGTGCTAACCTTGAGCAAAAGAAGCTCAGCGATAGTACCCAGGCCCTGAATTCAAGCCCCAGGACTGGCAAAATAATAATAATAATAATTAAAAAACAGAAAAAAGGGCTTGCTGGGGTGGCATAAGCGGTAAAACATCCCTAGCAAGAACCAAGCAATGTTCAAACCTCAGAACCACAAAGAGGTGGGGGTTTAGAAGACAAGAGGCTTCAGTCCTTTACCAGAGTTTACCAAATGTTTACTCTTTAGGAGTAGCCCTGTTTCTACTCTTCTTCATCCTGGTCTTTGCTTACATATGTTTCTAACTTTACAATCTGTAAGATCAGTGTGACTCTTTGTTTTCTCTGGATGGAATCAGTTGCTTGCCTGACTAGCAGACCAGTCCCTGTTCTGGTGTCAGGTACACACTCTGTCCCTGTCTCTGTCTCTGTCTCTCTCATGATCAATACTTAAGTCTTAGGCAAGACTGTTCCCATCAATGATATATTTGTGATTCATGAGACATGCACTGTGTAACTTGGACTTTGAACCTAGCTAAACTCTCATTAATGATGTCACCTTGGCCAAGTCTCTCTCCTTTTTTTTTTTTTGTTGGTCATGGGGCTTGAACTCTGCCTGTACTGTCCTTGAGCTCTTCAGCTCAAGGCATGTGCTCTACCACTTGAGCCACAGTGCTACTTCTGGTTTTCTGGTGGCTAATTGGAGATAAAAGTCTCACCGACTTTCCTGCCTGGGCTGACTTTGAACCACGATCCTCAGATCTCAGCCTCCTGAGCAGCTAGAATTACAGGCGTGAGCCACTGGTGCCTGGCTGGCCAAGTGTCTTAGCACTATGCCATATAGGTTTGGATCAAAGATCTTGTTTCAGTCATCTTTATTGAGGATGACAAAAATAGGCTTCCGTCTAGCTGCCCCTGTTGGAATATGTTTTAACTCTTGCCATGTAGAATAAATTTTAACCTTTCAAAATACAGCTTGACACACATAACACTTCATATTTATGAAATGAAGAAGGGCGAGGAGCTCTACTGAAGACTAGATGAATCATTTAGCTAAGTTTATATGATCCAAAAAGAGATTCCTGTTTGATTAGCCAGTATAAACAGTTGAGCCAAATCATTTTGGTTCCCTGAATTCTACCCTGCCACATAAACCATACACACTGTGAGATTCATTGATCAAATAAAGCTAAGTATGTGCTCATTTTCCTCTTCAACGGACAAGGTGGCAGGCAAAGAACCCTGACTATCCACTTAGGACTATCCATTTAGCTCTGTGAGCTGTTGAATCCATAAAAGCATCAGGGAGTAATAAAAATTGTCTCTGAAGAGCCAGGACATTTAAGGGAAAGGAACTATGTAAGCTGAAGAGAAACTGACATACATAGGTCTTTACTTAAATCTCATCCAATTGCCATTTTCAAAAAGAAGACTGAAATGATAATCATGCTATTGAGGGATTCAGTAGAACTCATTTGTTTGACAGAAGTGACCAATTTAAACCACTACCCTAGGCTGCCACAGCAAGTGGATAGCTGGTGGAGACTCTGCTATCCTGTGGCTTGAATCTTGGTATCCACACAGCTTAATTCTGTGCTGTCCATAGGCTTGTTTGAATGTTTCTCTATAGATTTTGGAAGCAGCGTGCATGGTCATTCATAGCTCAGCCACATGCTTCACTGTGGTCCTCCCACACTGCTTTGCCTACATTTAAAAACACAAATCAAGAAAGAGAGCATAGTGTTTTTTTTTCTGCTTGACAAAAATACAGCCCATTCTGCCAGTAGATTAAAGAAAGGCTGGAACAATTTTCCAACATGCTGACTTGATTTTGTGCACAGAGCCGAGAGAGAAGCTTTAGAAGCTGTGGCTGGACTCAGAATCACTATCTCTGACAGGGCAGTGAGTGGAAGATTGATGGGAGCTCATCAGAGAGGCATAGTGACCAGAGATCACTGGAATGGGGGTTTATCTGGATGGACTCACAGCTCACATAGGAAGATACTACAGGCAGCTTCCCCTTTGGCCTGCGGGTTCCAGTAGAGCACATCATTTGGAAAAAGATTCTGTGACACCTAATATGTTCACAGGTGTGCCTCTAGGTGATAGAAAGCAAGAGTGTGTTTACAAAAGGAAGAGCTGAAGTTAATAATGAGCTATGAATGTATGATGTCATCCTCCAGGACTAAGCATCCTTAGTACTTTTAAAGCACTTACCAAAAAAAAAAAAAAACCCTCTAGTTGCTATAGCAACTTGATGCAGCTCTTAAAAGGGGCTTTTTTAAGGGGGTCATTTTATATCTTCAATCACCATAACAACGTGATATAGCTTTTAAAGGGTATTTTTATCCAATTGTGTATACTTTGGACTCGGGCCATATTTGCCTTTCTATTTAAAATAATCAGATGGAGCATGACACATGAAAAAAAATCACTGAAGAGAAGGAAGCCCTTTCATAGACTTTACATATATACTCAGAGACATCTCTAGTTGCTCATATTCTGCGCATGCATGCACCCCCTCTCCCAGCCTCTGAGCAGCCAGCCATATGCAATGGCTGCCACTGGTCAGTTCAGTCCATGTCCTCGGCTGGCATAGGGGACCACCCTATGCCATGGAAGGTGTGTCTATGAGCTCTTTCACTTCTCAGCCCTATAAATACAGGGCCCCTCCCCCATTCAAACAGCCCCTAGAGAAGACAGTTTCTTGCAGTGACTAGTTTAACCAGCCAAGTGCTTCTCCCTTCCTGAGATTCAAATAAGTACCATCAAAGTACAAAGCTTGTAATTCTACTGCCCTCCGTACAGGTGAATAAATGAGGAGGGGACTGTGTTTCATATGATAGCCAGGGAAAAGGGTGAGCTGGGAAGAGTGCATGCCAAGCCAAGAGGAAAGAGGTGCAGTGGATGGCTCTGAGGACTTCAGAATTTCTCTCCAGGAGGAGCTTGGAGGCTGCAAACTAGCCAAAAAGGGAGGAAGTAATTGGGACTTGAAAGAGTGTCTACACAGTATCATATATCAAAAGTGGCAGAAGCCAAGCTGAAGTTGCTCATGCCCGTCATTCTACCTACTTAGGTGGCTGAGACTTGGAGATAACAGTTCAAAGCCAACCTTAGCAGAAAAGTCTGTGACATTCTTATCTCCAATTAACTAGCCAAAAGCCAGAAGTGGAGGTTCAAGTGGTAGAGGGCCAGCCTTGAGCAAAAAACCTACGGGACAGTGCTCAGACACTGAGTTTAAGCCCTTGTAGTGTTACATGAGCGTGTATATACGCGCGTGCGCGCACACACACAGTGGCAGAAAGGATCGTGGAAAGTGCAGGGGAATAATCTCTGCTCCTGGGCACACTTCGGTATTACAGCTGGTAGGGGGAAACAAAGTGACAAGGAAGCAAAGAAATAGAAGGAGAAGCTGGAGGTAAAGGGAAGAGAAAAATCAAAGTGAGGGGCAGTGGATACAGAACCACGAAGCTACAAACCTGGCCTCTGATTTAAAGGGCTTTACTTTGAGGAGGGGGAATCTTAGGAGATCTTAGGAAAGTGGCCCCTTCACGGGGGGGAGCGGGGGTACTGGGTAAAGGAGGGGGACAGTGCGAAGGAAGAGGAAATGAAAATGTTGGGAGTAGCGGGAGACAGGGCTGCCCAAGTGATGAGAAGACTGAGGCCAGGCTGGTGTGGGAAAGCAGGAAGGAGTCTGCGGCATCAGATGGGTAATTGGGGAGCTGGAGTCCTAGGCAAGGCCCATTTCTATCGGGACATCAACACACTAGGTAGGCGCCAGGGACGGGCCACCCTCAGGCCACTTTCTGAGCAGAAAAGAGAAGCGGGGACGGTAGGAAGAGGGATGCGCAGAGAGGACTGAGCTTGATTAAAAGTAGGCACTGGGGCATTAAGACAGAAGGGCCCGGGGAGTGCGGCCCGAGCCAGCGAGGGTGGAAAGGGGAACGTGCAAGGCGCACCGAGGGAAAACGCGCGCGCGTGCGCCAGGGGCGCACCGGCTCACCTATGGTCGACACCACGGTGCCCACGAAGTAGAAGGCGCCCGGGAAGTCCCAGCGCGGGCGCAGCGCGTCGGCGCGGACCCCGGCGGCCAACGCGGCCTCGTAGTGCCGGAGGAAGGCGCGCAGCTCCGGTTCGGCCACGCCGTGCGCCGCGCTGAAGTTGCGCAGCGTGGCGCCCCAGCGCGCCCGCGCCTCCGCCTCGCTGGGGCTCTCGAGCGCCGAAAAGACGGTGGCGCCCGCCACCAGGTAGAGGCCGATGAGCGCCGCCAGCAGCACGAAGCGACCGGTGTCTTCGTTGAGGTGCGAGCGGCGGCAGCAGCAGCAGCAGCAGGAGGGGCGCGGCAGGCGGCGGCGGCAGCGGCGGGGCGGGGGCCGGGGGCTGCGGGAGGACATGGTCCGGAGCTCAGCCCCGGAGCTGGGGTGGCGCTTGAAGCCCGGGCCGCGACATCCCCCCCGCGGGAGCAGGAGCGTAAGAATGGTGGCCAAGGGGTCCGGGGGGGCCGCCGCAGGAGCCCCTTTGCCGCCTCCGCCTTCTCCCGGGGCGCTTAGGCCACACACGGGTCAAGTGGTCCAGCGGGCGGCCGGCTTGGGGCGCCCCTCTTCACCCCCCGACGCCTCGCCGGCTCCCGCAGCTCCTTACCCCCTGCCCTCGGGCACGGGACTCGGAAGCTAGGCCCCTGCCGCCCTGTGGTCAGCGTCCACGGGGCCCCAGGCCTCATGCTCCCCTCCAGACAGGCCTTGGGCTGCGGGCGGGACGAATCGTGGGGCTCTGGAGCCTACGACTGGGACGCGGTAGAAGGGCGCAGACAGTGTCCTCGGGGCGGGGGGGTGCCCCAGGAGGCTCTCCGGGTCCTGCGGCTTTGTGGGTGCTGGGTGCGCGATCGATCAGTCCTGCGTCCACCCCCGGGGCTGAGCTAGCGGCGTCGGCTTCCGAGCCTCCGAGTCTGGGTAAGCACTCCCTTTCCCAGCTCCAGCCGAAGAGCCGCCTGGCACCAAGAGGCGGAGTCAGCGGAACCTGGGGCGGGGTGTTGGGGAGCGGTGAGGGAGAGAGGGAGGGAGGGGTGAGGGAGGGAGGGAGGGAAGGGTAGGGAGTTGGGCTGCCGCGATGCCTCGGGAGGTGGTTCTGGCAGCGTCCATGAGGGGCACGAGAGCAAGGGTCCGAATGCGGAGCTGCTGCCACCTCTGCGGGGAACCCCGTCCCGTCCCATTCCCTGCGCGGCGTCTCCGGAATCCCTCCTTTATCACCAGCCAGCCGCGCGGAAACTTTGTTCAACTTGGAGCTGCGAGGTCTCTGGGGCCGGGGGACCACGGAGCGCGATCCCTCTCGCCAGGATCTCCGGCTGCAGTTGGAAGTTTCAGTTCCCCTCGCGCACTCTTTTGTCCTGCATCCAACTGCAGCGCTGGGATTCGGCGGGACCCATTTGGGCTTGGGGAGGGAGGAGCGGTTGTCGCTGGGCTTTGGGCGACCCGAGAACCGGGACACTCGCGGCCCCCCGCCCGCCGGGCCGAGCGGGCGGCCACCGTCAGCACCGCGGACAGCGCATCGGTGCCGCAGCCTCGCGGCAGGCGGCGCCTGGGCTGCGGGTATCCTCGGTGCTGCCGGGTGAGGCTGATCACCCCGCGGCGGAGTACCCCGCCAGCCCTTCCTGCTTTCCTTCCCGCGTGTCCCTCTCCCCCCCCCCATCCCCAGGCAGGTGCGGTCGCCAAAGCTGCGTGCCGACAGGGCGGGGACGCTGCGGAACCGAGACGGAGGACTCGGCGCGGGTGGGGGACTGAGGGCACCCGGGGAGGAGGCGCCCTGGCCTGGCAGGCTGCGGGGCTCGCTCGCCGCTCCAACTCGCCCATCCGGGGGCCTCGAGCCTGCGGCAGAGCGGAGGGAAGTGGCTTGAGAAGCTGGCTGGTCTTTTCCCCCAGAGGCTGGCAAGGAAAGGGTGTGCTTTCAGGGCTCCTGGGGGGAGGGGGAGAAATGTGGCCTTCTCCTTCCCACCACCCGAGGGGAAAGACAGCGGGCGCTCAGCGCTGCTGCGGCTATGTCTCTGTCTGACACAAGCCAGAGTGGCTGCAGCCAGAAAGTTCTGAGGTCACACGAATGTTCCTTTGGGGGAGCCAGCCCCTTCCTTTTCTTAATCTCCTTCCACAATCCTTGGGATGAGGAACCGGACCATGATATATACAGATGGGGAAACAAATGGAAGATAATGATGATGAGGCCTCCAGGTGGGTGAGCGAACTGTGACCAAAGTTAGAGCTCCAGCCCTCAGGCCCAAACGCAGGCTGTGTGGTCTTTACTACAGAAAAACCTCAACTAAGGTCTCTCCTCAGACGGATGGTCCCAAACACCAGCCCCTGCCCCCCACCCCAACGGGGTGCTTGCATTCCCCGAATGAACTTCCACCACTCATGAGCATTTCTCAGCGATGAAATTGGGGTCCTCTGACCCCATACTTGACAGATGGGCTGAGGGCAAGAGAGCAGCCAGAAGTCTGTGAGGCGCCTGACTTGGCATGTGGATTATGGCAAACCTTTCCAGAAATGCCGGTCCACTAATTATTGGAACGGACTGCACTCCTTTCTTAGTGCAGACAGGCCGCCACCCGGGTCAGAACTGCACTGGGTTGCACTGGAGGGCACAGAAGGCTAGTTTTGCAGCCATTTTTTTAAAGGAACGAAGCAAGGGAGGGAACGAATGAGGGAAGGGGAAGAAACATCCACTGATGTCTGAGCCCCTCTTCTTTTTCTGAAGCAGAGTGGCAGCCTTATACAAACATAATACAGTCAGTGCAGACCCTTCTTGTCAACTGCTCTCCCACTCTTTGCCTGTCCTGGGCTCTCCACAGGTGTTGACCCAGGAGGCACTATACCCCTTGCTGACAAGATTAGCTTAGCCATGGACCTCAGGGGCTGAATTCCATTTGGCTGGTCAGCTTAGAAAGAAGTGCTGAGAGGTGTCATTTAGGAGTTGGCCCCGAAACCTCCAGATGCAGTTAGAGGACACTGCCAGGCCGGTGCTTCTTTGCCCAGAATCCCAGAGCAGGGACAAGGTGCTCTGCTGCAGTGTCCTGTGCCTTTGGGACCAGCTCCTCACGCACAGTTGGAAGAAGGAATGCCTGTCCTCCAACTTGTTATTCTGGCTTGATTAGCAGCAAACCTCTGGCATCCATTTCAACTCTGAATGACCCAATCAATTTATATAATAGGGAAATAATGAGTTCCCTGCTCATAGACATGTGTCCTCTAGGAAATAAGGCCCATGATGAATGTGGCTTTTGCCTGCTAAGTCAATAGTTAAGCCATTGACTGCCAGCTGGCCATCCTCAAAGCCTTTACCTCAGCCCTCCTAAGGACAAGGCTTGCTGCTGCAAATGTTCCTCCACATTGGTCCATCCTGCCTGTACCAGCTAGTCATTGCTTTGATCCCATCTGATCTAAGTCTGTGATTGATACCTCTTAAATCACAATCTCCAGTGGCTCCCTAAGGGTATAACAGGCATTTCGCCTTTAAACCCTTGAAATTGCCACTCAAAACCCTTAATGATGCAATTCTAGGCAAATCACTTCAGCCTTGCCTGCTATCTCTTACTTATTTCCAAATCAGCCATCAGCTCTTTACTTGTGTTGTAGCCCATACTGGAGTGATATCTTTATTCATCTCTTCTCCAGTTCTTCACATAGAGAGCTCTACTCAGCTTAGATATTTTCCAGGAAACTTTGTAGAATATTTTGACCCAATCATTTTCCATCATCTCCACCTAAGATTCTTGAGTCTGCCATACATTCAAGCACATTACATAAAACACTTGAACAGGTGCAGCATTTCTCTTTATCACTTTTTCTCTCTGTGCCTTTCCATCGTTTATAAAACCCAAGAAGATGGTGTAGTAGCCATGCTTGTAATTCCAGCACTTGGGAGGCAGAGACAGGAGGATCTCAAGTTTGAGGCCAACCTGGGTTTTATCACAAGATCCTCTTGAGACAGGACATGGGATGTAGGCCCCTTGAAATAAAATTATTCCAAGAAAAGAAAGTCTGGCTCGAGTCTTGGACTCAGACAAGAGTATAAATGCTTCAGGGTGGTACAAGATACAATGAATACTAGATGTCTTATAGGCCCATTGCCCAGGAACTGTATGAAATTTGGAGATAGAATTGGGTAGCCCTGGTGACCAAAGTGGAGCTTTATGGAAAAGTGCAACTGAGCAGACACACAAGCAATAGCACAAATGGTACAAGATCACATACAAGAGCATGCATGAGAGCACATACTATGTCTTACTCTTTTTCTTTCAACTGATATTTGAAGGGAGAGCTCCTTTAGATTCAATAAAATTCATGAGGAATGTTAGTCTTTATTCTTATTTATCTCATACTTAGACATTCTATCTCATACATTTATCTCATACTTAGACATTATTGAAAGTAGGATATTGAAGTCTCCAACTATTAGGGTAAATCTGTCTGTTGCTCTCTTCAAATCTATCAATGTTGCATCATTCATCTGGAACTCAGTTGTTTGGTGCATATCTATTTAGCATTATTACAGTTTCTTGATGGATTATTTTGTTAATGTGAACTGCACAACTGAAAGATGAGGGTCTTTTTCCTTTTAGAGTGGGCGTCAGATATCACATACAAGTGGAATTGAACTTGATGAAGGCAGTTTCATGATAGGTTTTCACTTTCTCCTCGTGCATTGCTACTTGGTGAGGCATTAGTTGTGTTTGCAGAAGAGAAGAAGGACCAAGGAAGAGCATCTCTCCAGTTTCCACATCTGTCTGTGGGAAGAATGCACTATATATCTTCATGTTGCCATGATGCTTGTGAACTAATGAGGCATCTAATAACTCTGTGTTTACAAGGATTTAGAAGTGAAAGGCAGAGTCACAGGGTGCAGAGGAGCTTCAAGGCCACTAGAGACCAGTTTTATCTTCAAGTCTTCCTGTCTAGCCAGGTGCTGGTGGCCTATGCCTGTAATCTTAGATACCCAAGAGGCTGTGATCTGAGGATCTTGGGTCAAAACCTGTCCAGTCAGGAAAGACCATGAAACTCTTATCTCCAATCAGCCACCAGAAAACTGTAAGTGGTGCTGTGGCTCAAAGTGGTAGAGCACTAGCCTTGATTAGAAATGCTCAGGAATAATACCCAGGCCCTGAGTTCAAGCCTAAGACCAACGAACAAACAAGAACAACAACAACAGCAACAAAAAACTCCCCAATCTTCCTGTGCAGAAAGCTGAGGTCTCCCTGTCAAAATGTATTCGTGGGAGCCCTCTTTTACCTTCTTTAAAAAATATTTTATTGTTATTATTAAGGTGTTGTACAGAGGCATTACCATTTCACAAGTCAGGTAATGAGTACATTTCTCCTTTTGGACAATATCAGTCCTTCCTTCACGCTCCCCCAGTTTTCCCCTCCCATCCCTGCCCACAAGTTACATAGGTCATTTTTCACATAGTATGTACTGAATAGCATGATTGCATTTGTTCACCCTTCCTCCCTCCCTTTCTTTCCCCCTCCCAGTCA